TTTTTAATACATAAGAGGTAGTAGTTTGAAAATTAAAAAAAAAATTACAAGTATTAAAATTTAAATTTGTTGAATGTCACTTTTTAAAAATGGTTATACAATTTAATTGAAGTAAATTTCGGATTCAATTTATTTAATCTCTATATTTCATGCAATTTTTTGATCTCCTTGGTAGGTCCTAAAAGCCTTGTGTTTATTCACTTTTATGAAAAATTTCACCAAGCTATATTAGCCTATCCATTTAAACACTTTCACCAATAGAAGAAAAACAACATTGGAGTCACTTTTACCTAGATATTTCTTCTTCAACTATCAACCATATTCTTAAACTTTACAATTATGCAACTAAACACTGTTTTCTTTTATACAAATCTCAGGAATTCTATAACCTACCATCTTCAAAGTAACTCCAGAGCTATAGCAATATTTTCACCAATGTCAAATATCACCTTGGTCTTGTTTTTTATAACCAGGCAACTCTTATTTGTTGGCTTAGATCAATTTGTTTGTGGCTTGATGCTTTCATCTTCTGAATAGCTTCTTTAGCTTAGCAAGTTAATTATAACCATGTTTTTAAAAAAAAATTTTCATATTTGAAGCTGTTGATCAAAGATTGAATTTTGATCAATGAAATTAAAAATCTAACACTCTACCAACAGATTACTCAAATGTTGGTAATCCTATTTTCAGTTTTGATTTTGGTTTTGAATGAGGCATTGTTTCATGAGAAGGGAAATTTTGTATGTTTTGAATGTAGTTTGAAAGAGCTGTGAATAAAGAAAAAATGGAGATAACATTTGGGATACCTTCACTAAAAAACCAGGTAAGCAATTCAATATTTATAAAAAAAAAGTTAAGCTTTAATGATGAGTCAATAATGGTTTCGAAATATGAATAAGGTAGTTCCAATAAGATTTCATTCTTGAACAAAAATCCATTTTAAAAGAACAGATTTTACAAAGAAAAAAGCAATTAATTGCAGAGAAGACTTTAAGCATTTTGCCTTTACTTGCTTCTAAGCTTTTGGACAAAGTGAAACACTGAATCACCTTCAATGAACCTCATGGTTTCTCAATCTAGAGTTATAACACTGGCATTCAAGCTCTCAAAAGGTACTCAATTCTTATTGTTTTACTTTGCAAGATAGGAAACTCTTCAATTGAACCATATATTGTAGTTCACAATATCCTTTTGTCTCATACTGTTGCTGTTTATCAGAGTTACCAGTGAAATTTCAAGGTATCCCACAAAATATTTCATCAAATATCACTATGATTCTTCAATTAAAATTAGTGAAAATTTTTTTGAAAAAAGACAAAGAGGTCAAATTGGAATGGCACTGGATACAAAATGGTATGAATTGATCTTTGATAAAGATAAGGACAAAAATATAACAAATAAAGCAATGGATTTTGTGATTGGATGGTAATATCTTATGCTAATTTCTAAACTTTATGACATTATAGAATAAATTAAATTTTATGGATCAAATTGTTTGACATAAGTAAATTGAATCAGGTGACTATCCATTTCAATAAGAAAGCTTATGGGAGAAAGGTTACCTCAAGCCTTACCAGAGATGTCCAAAATGCTAGTGGGGTTTCTGGACTTCATTAGCATAAACCATTATACCACATTATATGCCTAGAATGATTGGACCCAAATCCATAAACTAATATTGTAAGATGCTGCATCAGATTCTGCTGTTGTTTCTCTATGTAAGATACTAGAACATAATCTTTTATATAGCTTATTAATGAGAATATGAATCCATACAAATGTAACAGTCACATACATCCCCTTAATCGTAGCTTTTCAGGTAGAACAACAATTAGAGAATGACTATGTCTTGACAAAAACCTAGAATATATAAGTATCATATAAATCTTAGTTGAAAGTACTTTTTCTTTTAGGCAGCTTCGTAATGGATACGCATTATCCCATTGGGCATCAAAAAGTTGGCTAGATATCTAAATGATAAGTATGGCAATCTATCTGTTATAATGACAAAAAATGGTAAGTATAATTCCAGCCTCAGAGTTGCTTAAACTTCATATATACTGCTATGAAATGTCTAACAATTTACATTCCTACAGGTATAGATGATTTAAATTGTTAAAATGGTGTTATTCCACATATAATAAATATATAATTTCTTATAATCTTATATTCATATTGAACCCTTCTATTTACTATTAATTAATTTTAATTTGGATCTTTAACATCGTATCAGAGCCAAGATTTCTTTCATTACTCTTTCCAAATCTATCATGTGATAAACTTTTTTCATCTCTCCCTACATGCGATGGAGACCTGTTAAAGTAGTGTTATCCTACATCTAATGAATATCTAATTTTTTGTAGTTTCATATTTAGATTTAGCCTTTTCACTTACAATCAATTGGTTTTAAGTTGGATACTCTACCCACATAGGTTTGAATCCTGTTGCTCGTGTAACTGTTAAAATGGTGTTATCCCATATCTAATAAATATTTAAGTTTTTAATAGTCTAAGCCAAGTTGGATGCTTAACATGTTATGAGAGCTAGGATTTTCTTTTGTTGTCCTTTCTAAATCTATCACGTGATAAATTTCTTTTATCTCCACTTACACGTGATAGAAGTATGTTAAAATAATATTATCTTACGTCTAATAAATATCTAATTTTTTGTAGTCTTATATTCAGGTTGGAGCCTTTTACTTTTTTTATAGTCTAAACTAAGTTGGATGTTTAACATGGTATTACAGCTAAAATTTTCTTTTGTTACCATTTCTAAATCTATCAGGTGAGAAGTTTTTTTTATCTCCATTTATATGTTAAAAGTCTATTAAAGTAGTGTTATCTCACATATAATAAATATATAATTTCTTGTAATGTTATATTCAGGTGGACCCCTCAACTTACTATCAATTGGTTTTAAGTTAAATACTTAACATGAGTAACCCATTTATAACTATAAAACAAGTTTTGAAAGATGACAAGAGGATAGAATATCATAGGGATTATCTATCAAACCTATCAGCTGCTATCAGGTAATGAAAAATGTTGCCTAAGTTGTATCAAATTCCTGCATTTTCAAAATTTGGTTATGCTTTAAATCAGATTTTTTTTCATGAGGCACTGGAGTTGACAAAAAAATGACTAAACACAGGGATGATATACATGATGTCCATGGTTATTTTGTATGGTCATTGCTAGATAACTAAGAAAGGAATTGCGACTATACCATTCGATTCGCACTTTACTTTGTGGATTACAAAAATAACCTTACAAGGATTCCAAAGGCTTCTGTTGAATGGTTTAAAAGTCTACTCAAATTAAGAATTGAATTGAGCAGTTTGAGAAGCTAGATTTAGAACTTTTTGTTGAATCTTGACACCCTAAATGCAGGGTTGATAGATTGCTGCAAGTTGTATATTCGAGATGATCCCAACAAACAATCACCAATAATATTCAAATTCAAGATCTTTTCATAAAAAAAGACGAACCTTAACTTATTAAGCAAACCAATTCTTGGTTAACTTTTTGTTGAATCTGCAACAAGTAAAGGTCACACCATTGAATAGTAAAATACCATGACAGTATGAATCAATCCTTTTTCATCTTCTCCTCATTCCTCTCATCTACTTTTATTGCCAATTCATCTGAACTTATTGCACCAAACAAGAGATGTCAATTAGAAGAAAATTTTTGCTACATGTCAAAAATTTAAACAATATTTTGTGAATATAAAATTTAGCTCAATTAATTTATGTAGTTATCTTTAAATATAATATCTTATAAGTCTAAAATTCAAATTTCAACACTTGTAACTATTTTCCAATTCCCTTATTCTCAGGCTGTTGCCTCTTACGTAAAAAAATTTTTTTACAGATGATTTTGAACGTAAGGGATTGATGACTAAATTCTAGCTAATTATAAGCCAGAAGTTCAGCAAAACAAGAACCAAAAATTGAGGAGCCTGATCAAAATCCAATCAAAAGCTGCAAGTGAAAAGTAAAACCTCCATGATAAAATAACAAAGGAATGAAGTTGTTAGTTATTGTCAAGAAAGTCTATTGTAACAGTTTACAAGCAAAACTTTGGGGTGAGAGAAGGTCTTATAGTTGCAAAGTGATCGGACATTCAAGCATACGTTGAAGTTAATATATATTATTAAAAAATTTAATACTTAGAAACATACATTAAAATTATTATAGTAACTTTTTATATTCTTTTTATTTAAATTAATTTATGTAATAAAATATTTAGTATTTATATTTACTTTGTATAAACCTAAAATATTTAATCATTAATGAATATATTTTATTATATAAAATCTAATTTTATAATATATATGTGTGTTCCAAATTAAGAAAAGTTAAATAATAAGTTAGAAATTAAAAAAAAAAAAAAAAAATCCAATTTACCATAGGAATTTCTTATCCCCATATAAGTTCAGCCTTCATTTTGTTTTGAAAAGAAAAAAATTTCAATCTTTGCAACAAGTAATAAAAACGAGAAAAACATTGAAAAAAAATATAAGTTAATATAAAAGTATAGTGTTTGATTAAATTTGAATTTTTTTATTTGATTCAAATTAAATTTAAATACTAAATTTATATATTAGACTTAGATTAAAATATAAAAAAAATTTAAAAAATAAATTGAATTGAATTATATATTTTTATTAATTTTTATATATTTTAAAAATTTATAAATAAAAATAATTATTTTGTATTAAAATTTATTTATATATACTAAAAATTTATATTAAAATAATATATAAAAATTAATAAAATAAAATTTCAAAAATCAATTAATCAAATTAAATAAAAAAATTTCGATTGAATTTAAATCAAATTATATAAAATATCGATTTAAATTTAAATTAAACTTTAAAAATTTATAATATTATATCAATTTCTAAAAAAATTAAATTGAATTCGATGCACAGGAGCCGATATGACCCATAATAAATTATAAAATCCTAAAACAAAACAAAGCCAAAACGTGTCTGCCTCTGGTTTTTGTTCCCTGTCCCTCTCTCTCTCTTCTTTGATCCAAGCGCACAAACGCAAACCCAACCCTCCAAAAGGAAAAACCCACTTTTGTTTCCGCTGTTTCTTCAGGTTTTTTTTTTTTTTTTTTCTAATAGAAACACACCCAAACCCGAAACAGAACTGGTCTTTTAAATCACACATTTGATCTTTTTCTTACAGTAACCTCAAATAAAACAAGTTTGTTTTGTTTTGTTTTGTTTTGTTTTGTCTTGTTTAATAATTTTGACTATGAAACGTGGATACCCAGAATCTCCATCTTCCTCTTTTGGTCCACCTCAATCCAGATTCAAACATAACCCTGAAGGTAAAATTCTTGCTGGGGTTTGATTCTTTTGAGGGTTTTTGGTGGTTTTTTTTTATGTGTATTTCATTGTTATTTGGTTAAAATGTTGATTCTATCTGAATTTTGATTGTTAAAGTGAAACATTATGTAATAAAGAATTTATTATTAAAAGATTTGCATTAAAGCTGCCAAATTTGAGTAGCTGCTTAATGAAAGTGAATAAAAAGCTTCAATCTTTCAATATTTGGTGGTTTCTTCATATGCAATTGAATTGTGTGTTCTTTTTTCTGGTTTTTTTGGTTAATGAGTTGATTTTTGGACTTGGGTTTTAAAGGTTGTAAGGTTTGGTGTGTGAGGATAGGAAAAGAATCCACATTTTGATAGCTAGCTTTACAGCTAATAATGGAGAATTCAGTGTAAAACTTTTGTTCAAGAGGCTGAATTTGTGTTGTGGTGTTAGGTGATGCACAATTTTTGGAGGATGAGAACACAAAGATTTTTGCTCGGAAAGTAGCAGATCATTATAGTGCAAGAACAAATCAAACTTTGGAAGAACGAGAAGCAAGTCCTATCATCCACTTAAAGAAGCTAAATAACTGGGTATGTCCTTTAATCTCGTGAACTGCATTGTGAACATATGATATGTTTTTGAATTTTTTTTTCATTCATTTTCTTCTTTGATTGGACAGATTAAAAGTGTCTTGATTCAGCTTTATGCTCGTCGGGGTGATGCTGTTCTTGATCTTGCCTGTGGCAAGGTATTTTAGGAGCTTTATTTGTTTTTAGCTTACTCTATTTTCTGCCCAAATTCAACTTATTTTAATTTGTTATTTATTTTTGTCCGTGTATTTTAGGGTGGTGATCTCATCAAATGGGACAAAGCAAAAGTTGGATACTATGTTGGAATTGATATAGCTGAAGGCTCGGTAAAATGCTAAAACACTTGGTTTCTTTTTTCTCTGTTTTTGTTTACTCTATAATCCGGTTTAGTAGCTCAGTTGTGGTCAATCTCTAGTATGTGGGACACCCCTTTGAGTACTTATAATCATAATTATTCTGAGCCATTAATTTCTCTGAGCAGTACCTTTGGTAACAATGATGCCATTATTGAGTTCATTTCCAAATGGACATGTATAAGTTCGTCCTTAGATTTGTTGCACAGTTTGTTTATTCTACTCACGACCTCATGAAATAATTTTAAAATGCAGTTTTCTGAAACATGAGTCGTATGCAGTAGTGGATGGAAGTTTAGATGGTTTCTAGCTTAAAAAGAATGTGTGCTTCTAAGGCCATTAACAGCCTGCAGTGAAGTTTTCTTGCTATATGCTTTTCATCCCCACATCCCCCTCACCTGAAAAAGGAAGTAATTAGGAAAGAGAAGAAAGGGAAAATTTATCTTCTTTTGACATCTATTTATGTCTCAAGCTGCCATATTCATTTTACATTCTCCATTTATGCACAGATAGAAGATTGTCGTACGCGATATAATGGTGAAGCAGACCATCATCAACGTCGCAAAAAGTTCACTTTCCCTGCCCGTCTCATATGTGGGGATTGTTTTGAGGTAATGGAAATGTTGATAGTCACTTTTGAAATGCATCTTCATAGCCAGCTTAATACATCTTCATAGCCAGCTTACTTTGGTCTCTGCTTCTCTGGTTTAATTATCATAATAAGTGGCGTGCTTAGTCATGGCCAATATTGACTAGTGGTGATATATAAAAACAGATATCTCTACCAGTGAAACAGAATTTGCCTTTTGGGGAACTGGACTTGGGACCAACTTATTAGTTAAGGATTATGTGGTTTAGTAGGTGTTAGAAGATATGTTTTAATTTTAATATTTGGATGATTTTCAGATGCGCCTGGATAGAGTTTTGGCAGATGATGCTCCTTTTGATATCTGCAGTTGCCAGGTGACTGAAGTTCTATTGCTGTTTCCTTTTATTATTGGAACACATGCTATTAAATGTCTATTCTGCTGCCTAATGCTAAAATTACCACATAGGTTTATTTTATCAGTTCAAGCTATTTACTGATTTGTTATCTTGTCAATGAATTGGTTATTATTGAAAAGTTTGAGCTTCAGTTCTTTACTATTCTGAAAATATTCTTAATAGAATGCTATGTAGCGGAGGTACCCATACTTACTAATCTGCTTTTTCATACTAGCTCTATATATAACTGAAACCATAATTGTGGTTGTAACGATGCACTCTTAAATTTTGCAGTTTGCCTTGCATTATTCCTGGTCTACAGAGGCACGTGCACGTCGGGCACTAGCCAATGTATCAGCTTTACTTCGTCCGGGAGGCATCTTCATTGGGACAATGCCAGATGCCAATGTGATAATCAAAAAACTTAGAGAAGGTTTAGTCCTGCAACTTTCTTTTAAATTTCTTGTCTTAAAAACAATCTTATAGAAAATTGATTTTTAAATGAAGCAATAACTGAAATTTAAAGTTAAGAATCATCCAATGTATAACTAAACACTTAATGTGATTAACACTAAAATAAGGGGCCTATATCGTCTTGCATATCTGCGTATCCAAATTTCGATGATAGATCTAAAATGACCAAAGCTAGTCTTTCTAGTAAATAACATCATGTAATTTTATGGTTTCCTTAGACCAATTAGCAAAGCAATGACATTGACCTCTTGGTAAACAAATGTTGTATATTTGTTGGTCATGGCAGACTACTTAATGTCATTCTTGATTGAAGATGCTATTTTCACTTTTGACTATGCAGCTGAAGCATTGGCCTTTGGCAACAGTGTCTACTGGGTACAATTTGATGAAGAATTTGCTGACAAGGTGAATGGCATCCTTCTTTGTCTTGCAATTAGATTTCACTTTTTCATAAAAAAATACTGATGTTGACTACAAGTTTTATCTAATTCTGACAACTTTTGTGACATGGTTCAGAAATTTAAATCTTCCAATCCCTTTGGTATCAAGTATAAGTTTCACTTAGAGGTACTGCTTTTGACGATTCCTATTTTAGATATCAGCCTTTCATATTTATAATGGGATACGGTGTTGAACTTTGTCATGGAGTTGTACTTATTATGTTTCATTGTGGGATGTCTTGTTGCAGGATGCTGTCGACTGTCCTGAATGGATTGTTCCCTTCCATGTCTTCAAGTTATTAGCAGAAGAGGTATAATTCTGATCCTAGCAAACTCCTTTTCAAGGAAATGGAGGTTACTAATCCCTTCTTACAAATATTATTGTACTCATAATTCTTTTTCCTTGCAACAATTTTACCGCTCTTCAATATAAGTAGACTTTTGGCATTTTGGGATTTCTTATGTACTATAAATTTGTTATGCTTATGCTTTCTTGTATTTGTTCTTTGCAGTATGATCTAGAACTAGTTTTTGTAAAAAACTCACATGAATTTGTGCACGAATACATGAAAAAACCAGAATATATAGAGCTTATGCGGCGGCTTGGTGCATTAGGTGATGGTAACCAAGACCAGAGTAAGTTTATCATTTACCAGATAGTTCGTTACTTCATTCTCTCATGTCAATCATTCATCTTGCCATTCAGTTTTAGTTTGACACTACTAAATTTTTGTCATTGTTTCGCATCACGATATCCAGGCACACTATCTCCAGATGAATGGGAGGCAGCTTATTTATACCTTTCATTTGTTTTAAAGAAGGTTGGTCCCACATCTTGTATCATTTTATATTATGATCACTTCTCTTATTTGCCATTTGCATTATGCAATATAGACTTTTGCCATCCATCAAATTCCTTTACAATTGAATGTTACTAACTTGTCGGAAAATCTTCATTCCAGCGTGGCCAACCGGACCGGACACAAGCAAATAGTAGAAGAGATAAAGGACAGATGCAAATAGCAAAGGGGGACATCCTTTTTATTAATAGTGATGATTAACAGGACAACCCCATAAATTCCAAAGATTTATAGTTATAGTTCAAACGGGACGATAACAGGGGTGTTTGGTTCATGGAGCAATACCTTGGTGAAGTTGGTCATTGCTCTTTAACAAGCCCTACTGAAATTTTTTCAAGGCTATTCAGTTTTTTAGGTTTACAAATTCTTGTTGTAACATCACTTTTGCGCAAAGCATCCAAGAAATTGCCACCATGATACTCAATTTGTAATTTTGGGGCAAAGAAAAATAGTAGTGAAGAAAAAGAGACTTAATCCGATGGATAGATTAGTTGGATCATGCAATAATTCTTAAGAAATGATATTAAGAGATGATATTTAATAATTTTGACATTCGAATGTAAGAATTTATAACTTTTGTTATTTACTTGTTAAGCTCATGTTGTGGTTTCATTTGTATTTAAACAAGAAAAAAAAGAGAATGATTGAGAATCACACTGGTTGGCCAACAGTCGGTTGGTCTGTCGGTACAATTGGTTAAATGTGTGAGGAAGTATTTGATTGCCTCGAGTATATTAAAAAATTCACATTGGCTGCTGGTGTTAAGCCCTTAGCCTCACTTATTGAAAACGATTAGCGTTTCCACACATGTACTTTAAACTGTACGAAAATGACAATAACACTGGAAAATTTCATTGTCAGGTCGGTAGAATTTGCCATTTTGTTTGATGTATAAAATTATAAACAAATAAAATAATATTATGAATAAAATAAAATTAAATAATATTATTTTATGTTTGATATGGGTAATAATTGAAATAAAATAATTTTATTTTTTAATTAAAATTATTATATTTTAAAATTTATACAACTTAAATTATTCATATAATTTTTGATGATGTAATAGACATGCAAGTATAATTTTATGAATTAAAATATATATTTTTTTGGAAGAATGAATAATTTTATATTAAGAACATGATTAATTTTTCATACAATCTTATCTAAATGATTAATTTTTCTTGCAATCTTATCATTTTCTTTATATATAAATCAAATATGATATAAAATTATTATTAACTTACCTATTATTATCCAAATATGATCAGGTATGAATATTAAAGCAAAAATGAAAACTCATATCTAAATAGAGATGACAAATGAACGGTTCGGATTATACTCGAGTTAGGTTGTGAGATGATTGTAACCGTAAATTGATAAAAAAAAAATTATACCATTTTAAGTTTACATTATTTTAGCTTTGAGTTATTTTGAGTTTAGATCATTTTCAAATTTTACACTAAGTTATTCAATTTCAAATCCTTAGATTGGAATCATTTCATATCTAAATTATTGAGTTTTAAAATTAAATCAATATAATTTTAAATTATTTTAGATTAATCTTTCAAAATTGTTTTAATTTAAATAATTTCAAATTTCAATTAATCTAGGTTCGAACTGAACAAATTTAAATTTTTGACTTTTTTAAATTAAATCGAATTTGAAAACAGATAAGTTAAACGTTTTTTCATATTCAATCAGCTTTAATACATTTATACATAACTAATGTAAGTAAAATTGTATAAGACATCCAACCCTTAGCCACCCATTGATAAAAGTAATTAACTTGATAAGCTAGTAGGACGAAATTTATCACCGTTATCATCCATAAAGGCATCCAAACGAGGATAATTTTGATTTGTAAGATGGGCAATTCACATAAAAGATGCTGTGAAAATTTTACTCTAAGCTAGTTTAAGTAGCACAATCATAATAACCATCACTGCCAGTCCCATCATGCTTGGTCCAATTGTCTTATCTTTAGAGGCATTCATGAACACCTTAATTTAACAAATGCATGCGGCCACTAGTTTATAATAGTTGTCTTTCATATACAAAATTTAATTCAGTTGGTTTATATAATTATATATTTTTAACGGAAGATGTTCAACAAATTTAATATTTAAATTTTTACAATTAAAATTATTTTCCGTACAAAAAAAGTTGATTATTTCTTGGAAAAGCTTTCCTTGAAATATTTAACAATAGTGAAGTTGAAAGAAAAAACAAAACATAAAAACATGAAAGGGTTAAACTAGAATGGATTCATTTAACTTTTCCCTAAGATGATCACAAAAACAATTGTTGTGAACTTCCATGACAAGCTGCCAAATAAGAGTAGTCACCTCCATTTCCTTTAGTTCTTTTTGCTCCATTGCTTGTGGCCAGGCAACCATTTGGGACATTTAGGACTGAAGTAACTTGACACGGCCCTTGAGTTCAAAAGCTCAATAATGGGAGCAAATTTCACGCATCTTGGAGTCTTGTACTGGTTAATTGATGCACCTAAGCTAATGGCATAGTCCATCAGCTTGTCAAATGTCCCTGGCTCAACAATCTTGATCTCAAGAGGTCCAATTGATTTGTCACATACACGCCCTTGGCAGTATACACTGTTGAGGGACTCTTCAATGGTCAAGCAACAGTCCTCAAAGATTGAGGGAGGAATTGGGGTCTTGCCATTGAGGCTAAGTTCCCAGTAAAGCACATAGTGGCCTGGATTTGAAGTGGTATCTGCATAACTAGTGTACTCAGCCAATGTTGCATCAAATGGCAGCAAATTGTTCACTGCATTCTTGACAGCATTTTGAAGCTCAACCTCATCCGTCTTATCTGAATCAATGCTCAAAACCACATTTTTCCTGCATATGAAATTGAATTGTGGTGCCTTGTTCTTGAACCCTGCTACCCTTAGCACATCACCAACTCTATACCGGTAAAGTCCTGCAAAAACATTAGTTTTAACAGCCTGTAGATGCAGACAAGTAAAACTATATTATAATAATGTTAACTTTTTTTTGGTATAGAGGAGGCCATAATCTAGGAATAGATAGAGAAAGGGTTGCAGTTGATGTGATTTGATTTCCAGATTTGCTAGTTGCCACATTTTAAGAGTTGACTGTATGAACCAACTGAACTAAATTTTGAGCTCAAAATGTTAACTTGATGTATCTAAAAGTTTACCTGCATAAGTGGTGACAACAAGCTCATACTCATGTCCAAGCTTAACATCAACAAGGTCAACCAATTCTTGTTGTTCTTTCTGATTGAGAGATTTGGTCACAGAAATGGAATCAGTAACCCCATTGTTTCTATGAACTGGCAAGAATTCAAAGTAGGCCATGGTGGGAAGGAGAGTATAGGAAACTTCACTTGGCTTGCAAAGAGGCTTCAGATTGACACCAAAATAACATTCACTAGATGCATACATAGTGCAGACAAGAGGGAGGCCATTGCTATAGTAATCAAGAGTGGGAATATACTGTGACATGGTCCCAGTCACAATCACATCCACATACTTTGTGTTAGGCCATAACCTTGCTATGATCCCTTGCCATGAATCTTTTCTACACTCAGCCTCAATAAAATCAGCCAGTTTAGGGTCAGGTTTCAGGATTTTCATGACAGCCTCTATGACAGATTGGTCAGTGATTTGAGCACCAATGGTTCCGGTTCTTATATCATTGCAAAGGAGAGGCCAATGTTTTTCAAGAAACCTGATAGCCCTTATGAAACCAGAGGCAAAAACAGCACCCATCCTCAGGACTTCTTTGTATTGGCAAAGTCCACAAAGCAATTGAGAATACATGCTTTGGAAGGAATCTAAACAAAGAATGGTTTCATTTGGGCTAGTGTAGTTTGTGTAAGGGTCGTATGTTCTATCTTTGAAATGGCTACTTTTATAGTAGCTAGTGAGAACTGGGCGCGCCACAAGGCCACCAGGTGTCTTAGCCTCGGATTTTATGAACAAAAAGTACATTCCTTTGCCTTTGTCTAAACCAGGGACAAATTGGCTCATTACAGGCATCAATAGGCTATAGAGCCGTGACCTCCTCCCTAACTCCTCTTCAATTGTTGGCATTAACTTCCGCTCTCCACCTGATGTCCCAGAGCTGAAAACATGGTACCAAAACCACCCATTTAGCTAAAACCAAGCAAAAAGACCAAAGAAATCAGAAATTCAACACGTATAGAAAAAAGGTTGTTTCATTTTCATGTCCTGACCTTGTCAAGAACTCAGAAATGGGCTTGTAACAGAGGATTGGAGAAGTGTCACCATTGGCAATACGGTCAATATGAGGCTGGATATCTTCATAGGTGATGACAGGCATGATTTTTTTGAAAGTCTGTCTATCAGTGTGACCATTGAGGCCATGTTTTCGCAAGTACTCAACATGAGCATTGCGTGAAAGGATCTCTTCCAGGACTTTCTTTTGAACTTCATCAGCTTTTGAAGTCACATCTTCAATGAACTGAAGTATTTTCTTGTTCTTCAGTTCCAAGCTGTGATCTGTAGGCCACTGTGTGTTCTTTGGTGCTACTGGCATGATTCTGGTTTTTTTTGTCCTATTGTTTTTGCACTTTTCAGTGAGGAAAGCGTTTGGAACTTGGAAGAAATTAAGGTTTCAAAGTCTTTTAAGAGCCAAGAAAGAGAGAAACAAAGGCTTTTGATAGAAGAGATGGAGTCTTTTCTTTTGGTTCTGGTGTGAAGGAAAAAGAAGAAAGAAGTTGGGTATATATAAAGGCGGAAATGAAGTTGGCTAAGATTCATTTCTATAGATTAGGAGTAAACAAATGCTATGACAATGAAGGGTATAAATGCCGATTCATATTTTCTTATCTTTTAAAGTTTTTGTTTTTTCCCCCATTTTTTAGCTTGCCTTGAAGAAAAGGAAATTTTTCCTTTTTTTTTTTGGTCAAATCCCATATGCTTAAATTATTAAAAAAAAGTAAAACATGCAAAATTCAATAAGTGAAATGACTTGAGATCAAGTTTTATCTCTAATTGACCAATTATATATAAGAAAAAAATAATAATAATAAAAAAAGAGATAGTACTTAGAAAAAGAAAAGAAAAAGATGGTTCTTAGTGAGCTTGAAAAGTGTGGAACAACTTGTTAACCTAACCTAGAATGCATGCGGAGTGAGAGAATGGACCCATAACTAAATTTTGCACCAATTTTGCTATGACTTTTTTTGTAATGAATTAAGAAAGTATGTCTTGGAAGGAAGCATTTACTTTTGCTAGGGTTACATCAAAAAAGTATAATGGATGTTTGGTTCAAGTGACAAAGATAGTGTGTTTGCTTAAATTTAAATACATAAAAAAATTGTGTAAAAGTAATTTTTTATAAATTCATTAGGTTTAGAGTAATTAAACCTGCTTAAATCAATTCGAAAAAAAAAATCGAATAAAATTTAAAAACCCATTACTATTCAACAAAAAATTATATAATTTTTAAAATAATTCAAAGAAACTCCAAGATATTTGAGAAAGAATTTTAACTTTAACATGTGAAATTAATCAAGTTTAACTATAGCTGACTTAGGGTTTTGAAAAAATGATTAAGTATTGATGAAAGTTTTGATTTTGAGTTTTTAACACACTTTGCTATATGTGAAACAAATAGTAGATACTTCCAAGAAGTTGGGTACGTAAGTGGATAATGTGAAACATGCTTATCTATCACTATCTATTTCTCACATCACTTTGCCTCCAATAATTTTTTGTGTTTGGAGATTGGCCAAATAAAAGGCTTAGTGTCAAATTTTTTTCTCTATGTATATGATAAGTTGATTAAAGTTTTTGTATTACCATTCAAACTTGAAATTTTTGTCCTAACTTTCGAGCTATATCCGAACTC